GATTGTAGCCTGGGAAAAAGCGTCGATTGCAAGGGCTGCAACGGTGATGAATGCACCAAGTCCAGCCAAATATCTGTCAAATCGTCAATAGGCCAACCTCAACAATGATGAAGGTCACATTTTACCCTCTAATATTCGGCCGAAGAATGCATCTCTTCATCAACAGAACTGACCCCCACGGCCCTCGACTCGCATTGTCAAACAAGACGAGATCACCTAGCGTTTGAGATCGATCGAACCAGTTCCATTTCAACTGTCCTAAGCCTAATGACCATCACAAGTTAGAATGTTTGCATGCCTCTCAAACACCGTCAGCCCATCGACGAGAGACAGAGACTTACCTTCGGCGACAGGGAGTATGAGCGCAGCTTTGAACACAGCCGTGAAGACGGCGATCAAGGAGTTGATTGATATGAGCTTTGGCCAGTTGGGAAGAGGTTGCCCTCGGTAAACGGATAGGATAATAACTATCGCAGAGATGCACTCCAATGCTAGAACGCTGCTGAACATCTCTACCCACCACACTGACCAGATCCATTCTACGGATAATCCGCTGTTCGGTGGTGTATTTGGCTGCTCGTGGTTTGGGACTTCGTTCTCAGCAAGCTTCAAGGTCAACTGTTTGGGAAGCTCTTCTTCCGAGTCCACCGAGGACACCTCCGAAACTGACGTGGGGTGTAAAGTCTCTTGATCAGAGATGTCTACCATGTTTGGGGCAAGGAAGGCTCTATGTTCGTCGTTCATAGACATATCTCTGGTCTCCTGGAAAGAATAACCGCATTCTTCTTCGACGGGTGTTGAGGGTCGTTGAGGGGACAGCTCTATTGAATCGTTGCTTTCTTCATTAGAAGCAATCGGAGCCCTGCGCAGTGAAGGCAAGATAGGAGAATACATGGCACTTGAAGACAGAGAATCGACCATCTTGCGAGAGAAAATCAGATGCGAGAGTAACGCGAGGCTGTACCGAGGGAGATCAGTGTATAAATAAGATGGCTACTTTATCTATAGCAAGACATGTTCCAACACATTTGGACGAGGCTGGAGCTGCAAGTACCTGTGGCGTTCCCCTTGCTTGTGGTAAGATATGCGATTCGCCATTTTCACCAAGCCGTCAGCAGTAGATGCGGTTGCAATTGGCCATGTGTGAGACCTCCAAATAGTTACGAGTTCTGGTGCAACTCCGGCAATGCACATCTCGGAATAGAGGAATGGAAGCCTCTTCTTGGTTCAGCCTCAATGCCCCACGAATGCAGGTCCTGGAGGTTGAGACTGGGCTTACGATGGGAAGCAGTTAGCAGTACAGTCATCTTTCTCTTATGGCCGGCTTGAAAAAGCATGTCATTTCAAGTAATGGGTACACACTACGCTGTTTATTTAAAACTGTATTCTCGTACTTGTGACCCACAAGCATTTACTTTCTTCAATAACAAGATACTTGGGAGACTGGGCTTACACTCTCAGTCTCCCTCGCCCACTTCCATCGCAGGACCACCACATCTCTCCACAACCTTTTGACCAGCTTCAAAAGCAAATCGTCCGACGTTCACATTTGGTAACCGCTAGACTCGGTATGCAGTGTCCTCTTCTTTCATCACGAAACTCCAGCCGACCGCTATCGAAGGAGGGGTTCGACGAACACAGTAGTCTAACCAAGCGAGGATAATATTCCATGGCCTACCTTATTTGACTCCCAGTATAACATGGTCTACAGACATTTAGTCTAATACATGCTTATGTTTGACGGACTTCGGCAGACCTCAGGCAACCTGATACCTGGCTCTCAAGAGCCTGGCAGCCCTAAAGAATCGGCATCACAATGATTCTGAGGATGTTTATAGCCCATTCGAACCCAATAAGCCTCAAGGCCTTCCAAGTGTCTATTCCTGCGTCATCACAGCCATGCAAACTGTACACAATCCGGATCATCTATCCTCGATACTCGTACATCCCGATAACGCCAAGCAATGATGTGTCATACCCTCCAGCCTCGCGGCTAGTCCCAAACCCCCTTCTGCTGCCATTCCCCTCTCTCAAAGCTACCCAGCTCAATCAAGAATTTCGCCTCTCATGATCCATCCCGACCATCTCATACCCGCTTTCCCCGTCCCTCCCCCTTCCACGTCCCCGTCCCCTGGAGAACCCGAGCCCATCCTCCTCGTCTCCGGTGCCACCATTTTGCGCGGCACCATCACCACTGCTCCCAGCACCGCCCCCGGAATTTCCACCGCCTCCACCGCCGAACGATATTGGCCTCAGCTCGCGGTATCTGGACCCCCAAACGGCCAACGCTACACATATACCCGAACTGGCCGCCATAGCACCCCACCACATTGCGTTCCGTGGGATGCGGCCGGTGTATAAGCTCGTGACAACGAGGTGTAGACCATGCATCGTCAGCGCGAAGTCGGGTACGAGCTTTGAACGGCCGATGAGGATGATGATTGCGACAGCCCTGTTGTTGTATGTTAGCGCTGGTCTTCAAGCTCATGCCCTTGCTCGCTCGCGTCCTTTCTCACTTCACCCAACGAGCTCCAACCTCCCAGAAGCCACATACTACCAGCCCAAATGTCCCGTATGAAGGACGGAGAAAAAGGGGACAACTCACATGCAGAAACCCCCATCGAGAACCCACAAGAAAGCTCCCAGCCACCCCTGCGTCGTATCCCCCCGAACAGCCTCCCACCCAAAGACAAGATCCAACGTGAACCCCGTACCAGCGACGAGCGCTGAGAAGAGCATCAACACCAGTGCCCCGGCATAGTACAGTCCTTGTAACGCCGCGATCTGCGAAGCGATGCGCAGTGGGGGCAGGTCGTTGAGGGCGCCCGGCCGGGGCGGCTTGCGACGGCGGGGCATGGCGGGTTGAGGTCACGGTTGTTTCGGAGGGTTTGGTTGCTTCGGGTTTCGAGGAACGCTATGGTAGGTAGGTTTCTGGAGTAATGTAGATGGTTGAATGGGTCGTTGTTTTCGTGGTCGTCGTCGAAAGGAAGGGAGAGAGAGTTTGTCTAGGTGTCGTTGCGAAAGACGGTCGTGCGCTCTGTCTTGTTCTTGGTCTTGCGAATCTCGCTACCGGCGGAGCATTATCGAGCTTTCCTTTGCGGTTCGCAATAAGAAACTCCCAGACCACCCCCCGGTCGTAATCCCTTCTTCCCTGGAGCAAATCTCCGTGGCCGCTTATAAGCTCTTGCGTCCCTATTGGCAATCAAAGGCTGGGGAAATTGCGTAAAATGTCAGACCCCAGCGTCGATTCGTTCTCGTGGGGATCGTTTCCGTCTTTTGAACGTATTTCAATGTGATTCGTGGTTTGTTGCGTCCAAGCTGTCACGTTTGGAAGGATGTGCCAAAAGGGAAGCAGCGGGATGTTGACAGTTTTGGTGGCTGGAGTCAGCTGGGCCAGTTTGCGCCACACTTTCTGTCTTTTTGCGGCGCGCGCCGGTGAGCCTGTGCCTGCCTAGAATCGCAACGGCAGAGCTTCCTATCGGCACCCGCCACGCTAGGAACGAATGAGGCAAGGCTCACATTGGAGCTGAGCCGTGACAGAGCCACCCCGGTAGAGTGAACTATTCCACTCTAGGCCACCGCTCGATATTCTGCCGGCCCTCCACTTCGAACTTCGCGGCGTTGTTCAAGATCTACAGAAGTCCTCAACCAAGAATTCGAGACTTCATCTGAACCGCCACTCGTCGAGCGTACACGCCAGATCAACCCGCATAACGTCAAAAGCCTGCTTCTTCAACCAAGCTTTCCTCCGGCACCCACCACCAAACTCACGATCCATCGATCCCCTCCCGATCCCCCCGATATTGACACCACATCATAAAACCCGAACTTCCCCCTCCCGTCGACACAATGGGCCTCTTCTCCTCCTTCCAATCCGAAGAAGCCAAGCGCGCCGAAGAAGTCCGCACGGGCGCCGTCGCCCCGGACCGCAGCGAACGCCGCAAGTGCTGGGAGGCCCGCGACGCATACTTTGGCTGCCTCGACCGCAACGTCATCGTCGACGCCCTCAAGGACGATGCTAAAGCCCGCAAGGCCTGTCCCGCCGAGAACCAGGTCTTTGAGCGGGATTGCGCTGCTGCTTGGGTACGTGCCGTATCCCCCCCTACTCGAATCCCGTTCCTCCTTGCGCAGTCGTCCTTAAGCTCCTTGCGATCATGGGTGTAGCTTCTTGCTACCCCAGCCGCAGGACCTTTGACCAAAGCTGTTACCGGTTCACGCAACAAAGACAATTGAAACAAACACCAACTCCTTGAACTTCAACGGAGACCCTCGCTCTTAACGAACCCAAAACTAAAACTAACCCTCCTCTTCTAGGTAAAATACTTTAAGCAATGGCGCGTAGCAGACCTCCAAAAGAAGCAGCGCATAGCCCAGCTCGAAGCCGAAAACGCAATCAAGATGGACGTCACCACCACCTTTGCCGACCAGCCCTCAGCCCCCTCCTCCTCCAAGGGACCGACGCCAACAAAGGTTGATCTGCAGGATATGCTCGCCTCGAGGAGGCAGTAAGACGGGGACCCTTCGAGTTCAAGACAAAGAAACAAGTTTAAAGTGAACGAACGAACCAACCAAACCCCACGTCCAGTCAGATTTCGGGCGGAGCCTCAGCTTTCTTCTCTCTGGCTAATCTGTCTGACGATACCGAGTTTTCGGCAACTGTATTTGGCCCCTTTGATACCAGAAAACCTCCCTTTCCTCCAGCTATTTTTCGCTGGTGTACAACACTGTGTTTCTATATACTTCACTCCTCAGGGGTCCGGCGGGATTCAGAATAACGTCTGTAGAATAACGTAAACCACAATGACAAAAGAACCACTAGCCATCAATAAGCCAAGCACGGCTAATTCCAAAGCCCAGGCATCTACGTTACTGAGAAACACATCACAATGCAAGCTTGTCTTCAACACAGTTGAGAACCGACCTTCTATTTGTGCTACCTAGACGCACCCAACCCCATCCATATTATGGGAAGGGAATAAAAAGCGCCCTCTTGAATATCGCTATAAAGTTTTCCACCAATCCCATCCCACGACTCCTAGTTCTTTTTTTCTCCCTTTTGCCTTTGATTCCCAGCAGAGTTTGGTCATCACCGGGGGCGGAAAACAATGATTTTTTACGTGATGACCTTTATGTATGAGAGACTTTCTGTATGGGCGAAAAACAAGAGAACAAAAAAAGAGGTTTGATAATAAAACCCAAGGAAAAAGGTGTGAGGAGAGAGAAATGAAAAGGTTTGAATAAAAAAAAAGAAGAAGCATGCTCAATGCAATGGTGGTATCATCCATGAGAGAAAACACTAGTAAAAAGCTCTGTGGCTCGTCTCGGCTCTCTGTTGCCTCGGTCGCTGTGAGACCTCGTTGAACGAGCTTGCAGAAATTGTCATTGACCCCGTTGATGCAATTGTTGATTTGTCGACCCGTCTCTGTCTCTCTCCCTCTCTGCTCCTCATGCTTCATCCACCCTTCTCTTCCCGTCGCGTGTCGTCCCCTGCTTCGTCATTGCTCCCGCTCTTACTCCTAACGCCACGGATCCGTCTGCTGTTGTTCCGCAATAGGCGGCTTGCGCCCTAGGCCAGGCCCATGCGGAAGCTGCTCTGTCCGCCAGCCTCCTTTGGCAGCGGCGGCAAGGCTTTATCCAGCGAGTCCTTGCTAAGGCGAGGCTTGATGTTAAGCGAGTCCTCTCTGCTCATTGTCGAACCGTTTCCGTTGGGCAGCGCCCCGTAGCCGCTGTCTTGACTTTCGGGCTTAAGATGATGTCCCTTGGGCGGCGTCGGCGGCGCATAGTCCCTGAGTCCAGCGAATCTGCTCTCCATACCAGGCTTCACTGGGGTAGCGGGTCGGTGGTCATCCCCATCACGACTCGCTGCCCCGTCTCTGCTTCTGCCGCCTAGCGATGAAGCCTCTCCTGCCTCTTCAACTACAGGTAAGATAGGAGCCCCTTGGCCACCAGATTCTCGCCGTTCGTTCATTTTGGTTGTCGACAGGACGACATCTGGAACGTTGAGCTCGGAAGCCCCGTGTCTTTCGGATCTTCGGGCATCTTGCTGGGCTCGCTCGACGGTTTCGCGTGCTTCGGGTGACATTGGAGCGCTAGGCGGGGTTGGCGGAGGTCGGTAGTCGGGCATTGGGGGAATGTTGTTTGTCCCCGACCTCCGGCGCATGCTCGAGCTCCAGCTGGCAACACGCTGTCTCTCCGCAGCTGCAGCAGCCTCGATCTGCTCCTGGTCCTTCCGCTGCTTCTCTCTAATCGCCTCTTCAGGGGACATCGTGATACCCTCGACGAAGTTGTAGAATCGGTCGCCGTACTGTTCAGGGGGAAGAGCGGAGATCTTGGTCTTGTCGCTTGTCAGTCCCTTCCAGAAGTGCTCAATCTTTTTGATCATTCCGTACTATACAGAAAGTTAGCAATGAAACAGCAAGCGCGGGAAGAAATCATACGTGAGTCAGGCAGTCGATGACGCCCAGGTAGTAGATCTCATCGGCTGGAGAGTTGTCCTCATGGGTCGCCTGGAATCCACCATCGTCCTGATTGAAGATGTATCCCGATCTGCTATGTCCCTCATCGAGCTCGTCTGGCATTTGAGCTGCAGTCTGTCCCATGGGCACTGGCCGTTCGTGCCTGATCATATTGCGCAGCTCCCGCGCCTTGCGAGCGTTCTCCAGTTTGGAAGGCGTTCGCAAGAGAACCGATGGCGGCTCACCATCTTCTTGCTCGCCGCCGGGGTTGAAGACCTGAAGAGTCTTTCCTCGAAGATTCTCCTCGTTCCCTCGCTGTAAATCGTGGATACCGATCAACAGAGAGTAGTCCATGATTTTGAGCTTCTTCATCAAGACCACATCCTTTTGCAGCTGCTCCAAGAATAGCTTCTTCTTCTGGATGCCAAGTTCGAGGTTTCGTTGTCTGCGCATCCAGTTGAGATCCTTCAGCGTCGCCCGAGGGTTCTTGTCCAGGTCCTCTTCCTTATAGTCGCGGCCAATCGTAGATCCCTTCAAGTCGAAAGTGGTGTGGATGTCCCGGTGGGGAGGGAAGAGGTTGTTCATTACTACGAAGTGAATCTTCTTTCCGTAGGGCATCTTGACACGGTGGAGACCGTAGAATTGAGATAGCAGCGTATTCGGGTTCTCGGTGACGTGATGGTAGTAGTCCTTGAGGACCTTGCGGAGGAACTTGTGCTCGGCGTGGTGGATCGTCTTAATGATGTACTTGTAGTCTCTGGAGAAGTAGAAGAAGCTACCACTCTTTCCAGGGGAACCCAGTTCGGACAGGATATACTTGCCCGTCAGAGACATGAGGTAGTCTGCGGGATCCAAGCGAAATAGGCCGCGTAGATGTCGGAATACCCACGGCGCATAATCCTTAAATTTGAAATCGTACTTCGCCGAGGGCACCAACTCGTTTCCGGCACTGAAGAAATTAGTAAACTTGCAAAGCACGTGGGTAACACGGGACTTGACGTACATGTCAAAAGTCGACTTCTGCTTTGCCTCAAAGTCAGCATCCGTAAGGGGCCGGTCGAGCTTCGCGTTCGTGCGGGACACCGAGACACGGATGCCCGTCAACATGTTGTAGGCCGTGACCCAGTTGGTGTGATGTTCATCGACCTTTGTGCCGACCAAGACTCTATCGTCATCCTCCTCTTCCTTTCTCTTCCTCTTACTCGCCCGCTTCTGTCGATAATGTTCGGCCCAGCGCAGGGCTTCCTCGTCGGGCACCACCTCGTCACGCGGTACATCAGACTGCATGGAGCGAGTATCTCTCCGCACCAGATTAAGGGACGCCCTACGCACTCTTTGCGTGGTGCTTGTGGGAGAGAAGCGACCGCTGGAGAAGCCCGTATCGGAGCCATCTTTAGAAGCGCGATTGGATTGGGTGCCGGGAACCTCGAGCGTATGTCGATGTTTCAATCCGCCATTTGGCGGTTGCAGGCCCGTCGGTGTCGATCCGTTAGGGGTAGCACCACCGGATTGATAAAGCGGCGGAGAAGAGAAGCGTTGCGGTGATGCCGGTTGGTTGTTGGCGGTGGGATCTGGGGACAGCGATGCGTTGCTGGGTGCTGCAACGGGCGTTGTGTGGCCGTTGACAAGTCTACCTTGTGACGGTATTGCTGGGGGTGCGTAGTTGGGACTGCTAGTCCCGTTTGTTTTTATGGTATGATCGATGGATCCAGCCGCAGGCGATCCAATTGATGGCGGCGTAAGGTAGTTATCCGTCGGGCTCGATTGCTCGGTATCGGAAGATGGCTTCTTGATGATAGTGATGGGCGGCGGCGGAGCTGTCCGGTCGGGCATGGTGACGGTGTGTCCATTTTGTAACGGGTGTTTCTGATTCTTGTAATCGTTGTACTGGTCGTGGTGATGAGAGTCGTGGTCGTGATAAGCAAAGTCTACGCCTCCTCCGGCCCCTGCCGAGCCGTTGGGCAACGAGCTCATGCTAGTCGGCCTCGTCCCATTCATCTGATTGGGGATGGAATCAGAGACGTCTGAGGCGTGGGTTGATGAGGTTGAGCTTTCGTCGAAGCTATCATGGAGGTTGTTTGAGCGCGATGGGCGAAGCGGTAGGGTATGGGAGAGCCCGTCAATTGGGTGCTTGTGGCCAGACAGATCAAGCGTGTTGTTTGGGTCGAGGTCCAGAAAGTCGGAATTTGGCGAGTAGACGGGGGCGTTCTCGCGGGTGAGGTAGGTGGGCATGGTCGGTCGGCCGGGGTTCGAGACGTCGGGAGGCTGGACGTAGCTGAATGTGGGAGTGGATGTGACGGGGGGGTGTTAACGGCTACTGCTACTATTCTGAGCGATGTCGTTATTTTGTCTCTAGTTTCTCCTGGTTGTTCGTGGGGGTATCAGCGGCAGGATGGCGATATTATCGAGTCCTTGGATGGTTCGTTTGTTGGATTGAAAGAAAGAAAAACAGAACAGGCCGAGCAAAGTCTCAGCACATTGTTTTCCGATGAAAGAAAAAACAACGCAAAAGTCGAATCAATGCGGCCGTTCGTTCGTATGGATCGTCGAGGTTTGGGGGGTATCGTACTTTCGCTAGGCGTGCAATTGACGGGGGTCGACGTTGTCGCTGTCGATGGTGAAGATCGACGAGTACCAGGAGCAAAGATCGGAAATTGGGGACGATGCGTCGCTCCTGACTACGCGGTCGAAGTCGTCAGGTTCGTCTTTGTCGGGATGGAGGACTAGACGAACAGAGAGGAGGAAGCGTCGGAGAAGATGCGGAGGGTTGCGAGTCGAGACGGAGACAGAGACAGAGACAGAGACGGGAGAGGATAAATCAATGGCTCGGGCATGTCTCGACGGCGGCGCGGCGCATGATATGACGAGGTGGGTGGTGGTGGCCGGTTGGATGAAGAGAGGGAGTAGGAAGGAAAGCCGGGGAAGAGAGGTTTTGACGATGAGAGAGGCTCAGGTCAAAGAGACGGCGAGAGCGCGCAAGGTTACGGGTCCACGTTGGTGGAAGAGACGTCTCGCAGGGCAGTACTACGTACAGATAGGCAGTGTCCAGTACCTTGAGGTACCTTACGAACCTACGGGTTACAGGTGAGGTAGGCAGGCCTCATCAGCCGGGAGGGAGACGCTGGAGACACATCAGGAAGAGCCGAACAGGCGGCCCGGCCCACTGAAAGAAAGCCACCGGGCCCCTGACGGTACCACTGATCACAACACAGAACCACTGAGAGACGCTGGTAGCCCGACGTGGACAGGACAGTGGAGGTTACTTATCTTCCATCGACAGTCCGTCAATAGGTACGTACTCCAAGGTTTACCACCTCAAATTCACCTGAAAGCAGGATGTTCAGCAGAGGGGCGGGACTCGGGAGGACGCTGGCAGTGATGGCAAGTTCAAACTTCAGTGGGCGAGTGGCAGAAAATGAAAGTGGGAGGCGGGTGCACAGGTTCCCTGTACGTACTCTGGTATCCACTGGCCGGCTGGATGTTCGCCCTGTTGCCCACTTCCTCCCGCGCCTTACCTAAGCTTCTGGATGGTTTGGTACCTTAGGCGGTAAGGCGCCATGTTCCTGAATGGGGGAAGGGGAAGGGGCTGTGTGAGTGGGCGGATATGTATACCTCCACCACTGATTACGTGCAGAGATACTTGGAGATCCACCTCTTCTAATGAGAGAGAAATAGGCATCTCTGAGTGGCCGACGGCGGGGCTGCGGTAGTGGGGTCCATGGCCCAATAAGGCTTGGCCGCCCACCGGTCTCTGGGTCCTGTTGCCGGGGCTCGAAATGAGCCGGCGACCTCTTCGCTTTTTGTTCTCAGTGTCAGTTTCTCTCTCTGTGTCTCTCTCTCTTCCTTTTCAGAGTTCACTGTCCCAATTCTCCTCCAAGTTATCCGTACATCAAACATTGAAGCTAGGCATACTTAGGTAATCTTTCGCCGCCAAAGGGCCCCTGGGGAGTCCCCCGTCTCGCTCTCGCCGACACGGTCACCGTTCACTGGTCAAGAACACACAGGGACAGCAGCAAGTCCCGCCGCCCAGCCCAGCCCCAAGACGTGCTTGACGCCGTGTTTCCGGCCAACTGGGTCAAATTCGACTACCAAGCCACGGCATCCAATCTCGACTTGTCAAGGGCCGTAGAAGGCGTCTCGAAGGGGGAGGGGGAGCCTGAAGGAGCCTCAAATATGCCACCAGTCGCCGATGGCCGTCGATACATCTCTTGAAGTTCTTCCGGAGTAACCTCTCTGCCACCACCATGGCCCTGACTCCATAAGACGTCAAAATCATGGGACGGAAGACCCCGCGGTCCTTGCATACACGTACATAAGCGGTCCCCTTTTCCCACTCTCATGTCCGTACTATTCATAGCACCCACCACCTCTGTTCCCCTTTCAACGACCTCCTCCGTGGATACGTGGATATGCACTCCGGTAGGTAGCATTGGATCGTCGACTGAGCCTCACTATGCATGCAGCTCCTTAAACCTGCCCTCACTTTGACCCTTGGAAGTTGGAACTCCCGAGTCCTCATATCCAACATAGCCCTATTCCATCACTTCATCATCAAGTCTCGTCACTGCCAAAGTTAGGTTTTTGCACTGATCCACCGTGAGTGTGTCTCACAGCCACACTCCTGTTTTGTTCCTGCATATCCCTATGCCGCCGCGAAATCAGACATGCATTCGATAGCACTTCGTTAGATATTGATATTGTGCTCAAATGGCGGTACATCGATTACCACGTCTCATCCCCTTCCCTCGCCCCTTACACGGTCCCGTCCGTCTGCCATCATGTTACTATATTTCAACTCGTTCCGAGATCTCAGGAGTGAGGGGCCAGCTTTCACCAAAGCAAAGGCCCAAAGGTAGCCGCAATGGATCAAATGCCCCTGGACAGTTGTACGCGTGACATGTCGCATACAGACACACTTGTCCAGAACCATCCCGTTCCCCCCGTCAACACCTTAATATCAACGACCTGCCACTCTACATGCATGACCGCCCCGTTGGCGGGCCCCCCTTCCCCTCTCCTTCGTATAGGCAAGAGCAACAGATTGCAGAAAACTTTCCCCTGCGCAGCTGGAAGACCCTCGTTGTCAGCCTGCAGAGCGGGGTGCACCACCAACCGTTGGGACATTGCGCCCTCATCTCGTCCCTGATCGGCCCCCTTTGATTGTCTCTGTTTGTCGCAAAGCGACGGATCCTCTGGGGTTTCTGTTCCCGAATAGAAAACATGACGAACAAGACGATGGAGATTGTGGAAATGCAGTCGGCATGTGGCCTCGGCGCTCACGTCTATCGGAAAAGTAGACTCACCTTCTCAGAGACACACATTTCCCCCTCGTAGTAATGCTTCATAGAAGCGAGAGAGACTCGAAACACGCAAGGTGTGCATTTACAGATGGCGATATTGACTTCCGCGCTGCCTTACCTTCACTCGTCCTCCAGTCCACCGTTCATATCACCACTAGTGCCGCGGGGCACGGGAACCCAAAGAACCCCGGGCCCGATCGCCGTCAGCAGTTAATCGGGCCTCCCTTCATCTGCCTCGCCCTCTGTACCTCCTTCCTCCAAATTCCGACTGTCGTCCTGAATACAAATGTTGCGTTGCTCAAGTCTAGGGCTGACCTAAGCACCCTTCAGGGGCAGCCATGGATCTTTCGTGAGAGACAAGAACCAACGAGTGCCCAATCACACATGGATCCGAGGCGTCCAAGTTGGTTTGTTCGAAATCAGCTTTAGGCCACCCGCGATTCCGCGGCAGCTAGCCAGCTACCGCATCCCGAGGGCCGCGCCAGACCATGACTCAATGAAATACCTGTATCCGTACCGATATGGATAGAGCTTATACATAGCCTCATCTTCTCTATCAAAAAGCATATTTCAAATGGTACCTTTCGGGCAAGTTCCTCTCCGAGTAGAACAACGTTGCCGAAGCCAGAGCCGCCACTGCCATTCTTTCAAATGTCCAGTCTCAGTCCTCCAACCTTCTCAGCCTAGGTCTTACCGCCCGCGGATCCCCAAGACGGGTAGAGAAGGATTGCGTATGCGTGCCAAAAACGGATGCCAACTCATCAGGCGCCCAAGATCGTCCAAGGTCACATCACGCACCACAAATCACACAACAGACATCACACTCGCACCACACGCCCCTAGAAACCTGACCGCCAGTCCCCCCCCCCCCCAAACATTGCTGATAGTGAGCCCTTCGGAAAATCGGGGAAAGATGAGAGGCACACACGCAGACACGCTCACTCACACCGTTTGATGAGAAGCTAGCCAGCGTGCCAGCCCAAACCCCGTGACGTTGTGCCAGTCCTGGCCGTTACAACTGCACTAAACATGCACAGTCCCTGATTTACCCTGGATCGCCAGAACGTGGACGATCCCTTGGGACTGCCAAAAATGCAATGACCTCATGGTTTACCTGCCCATCAATTCTGTTGTCTACCTAGGCTCTCACTCATAGGGTCAGCACTTGAGCCCAGTCGTGCCGCACGTGGAACATGAGAATGGACTACAGCAGACTCTTAAGCCCCAATTTCAATCTTTCACTCATTGCCGCGAACTTCTCTAGTAGCACAACCAGGGATGCCCTCTCACCAACCGGACACCCACCGCCCAGTTCTTTCACCAGAAGAACCAAGAAAGCTGTTCACACAACAAGTCCCTTCCCTGACATTTTTACTCTATAGTGCTCCGTACCCGCTCCGGGTTCCCGCGCCTGGGATGAACCTCCTTGGTTTACGCGCGTGCCCCTGGCTTTTCACTGCCGTTCGCACCCTTTCCTGCCCGCCACCCGCCAGAACAGGAGCGTTATTCAGTAATGCTAAGGAATAAAAAAAAATGGTGGTAAATATTTTTTTAGTGGTTGCATCGAGAGCTTTGGCCCCCATCGCGGCACGGCACGGAAAGGGGCGCTTGCAATAAGGTCGTTCATGCTATGTGGTGCAGGCCTGGCCGTGGGCACGATCATGTTTGATGCCTTGAGTCCCAATACTCGTTCGTATAAGAGTGGTTATCGACTGTTCAGCGACTTGTCACTCTGAGCTTCACTGAATCGGAGTTTTGAGGCATCTTGCCCGATATCTCTCACTCTTCCATTCTGTTCTACAATATCTCCCGTCATACATCTTCTCCTCATCTCGCCAACACGAGGCCTCCCAGTGCAGTTCGTAACGACGGCTCTTTCGGGATTACGATAATCTGAACTCATCATCCCCCCTGAACCTAATTGAATCCCGTACTACGACCCCCAGAACATGTTCATGCCCTTACGTGCATACATCAGAGCTCCAACGGAATCGTCCGTGACAGGTCGCGATTAAACAATGCAAATGAATGTTTCCGAGCACGTTCACCTGCCTCATCCTGCAATTTACAAACAACGGACCGACAAAGCTTTCCAGTTCCTTCAATTGCTTGGAAACCCCAGGGATCATCATGTTAATGCTGGCAAAGGGATGAAAAACAACAGACGATTGGTTCGTCACTTACCAGCCAACAAAGTCGCCGCCCTCCCCCTCATGCGCCGAACAGCCTCTCTTTCACATGTTTGTTTTAGATCAGAAAGAGAAAAAGAGCTGTTCCAAACATTTCACAGGTAGCACAAAGGTTCTCATGCGCAGCATCTAACCAGGCGCACCTATCACCAGATGGCATTCCTGCCGTCCTAGAGCTTATGCGGCCATCAACTTGAGACTTGAGTTCATCTCATATCCTCGTTATGAGCCCGGCCTTCTGTCGAGCATAAAAATGGTTATTGGTATTTGTAGGCACAAATGCAAGTTCCCTCCTGTGCACGTACTCCGAAGGATCGTTTGCTGTCCGAGATCATGCATAACCAATGTATTAATGGAGTATCACGTTATTACGCTCCTGCTCAACAACCTACCTGCAGCAGCATGTCCATCGGGTCCATGTCGCCAAAGACTCCCTCCAGACTCGCGAAATCAACATCGTCGAGGCCATAATAATAACCATATCCCTCCTCATGCGTGTTAGAATAGCATCCGTTGCTTGCGTCCCTTGCCTCTGTAGGCCCCGATATGATAGCTCCCGGGGCATCACCTTTCAAGACAGGGTGGACAGGTTGCCCATCGAAAGGGTGAGTCAACTGGCGGACATAGGTGAGCGCCGTCTCAAGGGTACAAGTAGACTTTCCTGAAGACAAGTTTCTCTGTATGGATTGAAGTGATTCTTTTCCGCCCTTTGGGTCAGCTTGTTTATCTTCGGAAACCATGAAGGAAAAGTACTTACTGCCGAGGCGGTTTGCTATCCCAAATATGTTAGAAAGAAGGGGCTGTGAAACAGGCTGGTAAATCGATACTCACCAATAGGCCAACGGCTCCCTATCTGCTCCATAAACAACTCCAGCAGATCAAGCTGGGAGGAGAAAAGGGACATCTCGGACGAGAGCGCTCTTTGCAAAGAGAAGATTGCGCCAACCAAAAGAACAATGTAGGAGCACAACGGGTCAACAACGTCAAGGTAGGCGGGCTTCCATTTTCCGACGACTTCGGCCGCGTCGTTTGCCTTGTCCAAGATCGAGTGCCAGTGTGCTGTGAGATCGGGAGCAGCCGCGGTCGACGAGCTGCTCATCTCCACGGCACAGATGGCGAGTAGCAAGTCGGAGCTGGAACTGTTAGCTTCACTGGTCCGATTTCATACGGGCACGATGTCGGGCGAGGATCATAGTGCTTACCAGGACCAGACAAGCAAATTCTTCAACCGAGACGCGTGGTCTTCTCCCGTCTCGCCAACGCTCAGATTTCTCACGGGCTGAAAGTACCACGAAGGCAACGCAAACGCCGTGGCCGCGCTGTCGCTCTCGAGCTCTCGTAGGCGGTTCTCGAGGCCTTTGGTGCGGCCGGACTTGACTAGGGATCTGAGTTCTGTGACGGATCTCACAAAGGTGCATACGCCGAGGTAGAGGCTCTGATTCGTACATGCCGGCTGTGAGAAGATGGCTTTCATCGTCCGCCAGTGTTTCGGATGCGTTGATCTCCTCAGAGACTCGTGCTGCGATAGGTCCTGATTCTGTTCAGAGTCAAGAGACGGCTGGAGCATGGACTCGGTAGGTGATTCAGAAGTGAGCCTGATCTTCTCTTCGAGGCGATTCGATATCGCGTTTGGTGATGCACTTTGGAGGCTTCCTTGTTAGCACAGTAGCGATGACTTCACAGGCATGCCCAAGCAAGACTTACGTGATGGCACAGCAGCAGGAGTCAAGGCGATAGATGCACCACCATACCCTGGCCCACTCCTCCATCTCAGCATCCAAGTCCTCCGCCTCGTCCCGTCGTCTTGCTGCCAGTCCATCCCCGCCGCCGGCGTCCTTCTCGCTATTGAGATCAAAGGCCCTGCCAGACACGTTGCGCTGTCCTCCAAGGCACATCGTGTAGTACAAATCAGCCATCCTGGTGATCTTGGTGGTTTCGGTGACAGTTGTCCACGTCAAGGAGTCAGACATGGCGTGAAGGCACAGGAGAAAAGATGCTTTCAGTTCATCCACGCTCAGTTCCGAGTCGCTTGAGAGACTTTGAGCTCGGTTAGCAAAGTCTTCTGGTGACCACGGTATGACGCCTGGGTTCGCGAAGCGTGAAGACACGGTGAACAGGGCCATTTTGAGGCGGGGTGACATGCGCAGCGCACTTCTGAGTCGTCTGTCTGGACAAGTCTCGAGTAGTGGATAGTTTGGTTGGATGTGTTTGAAGTATAGATTCAATCTTGAGCGCTCTGTTAGTTCATCAAGTCTTACTTCGCGTTGCTTCATGGCTGAATGTTGTTCACTAACAGGTAAGTTTCCATCTCGAGGCTGACGTTTGGGCCGTATGATAGGGGTCTTCCCAAGACATGCTCAGACCAAGACATAAGGGATGCATCGCCATTAGTTCTTATTCGATTCGAAGCTCTAGATGGTATACCATCTGAGCCATCAGTGCAAACGGTTGTGTCTGTAGCTCGGCCACTTAGCTCTGAAGAGGCGGCCAATTCAGTAGAAGTCGAGGGTTTGAGTCGTTTTGTGCATCCTTTTGGAGGTCCTGGAAAACGCCGTAACACGTATTAGAAAACAAAGTCGAAGCAACCTTAGGACAACACATTTACCTGGTTTTCTTCTTCGTTTGGTATACGAACAAGTGATAAGACGTGTACGGCAGTTTCCACACGCAGGACGGACTTGGTCACCTGTCCCACAACCACGCTGTTAATCGAAGCCATGTGGGGGGATGAGTATCAGAATTTTTGAGCGGCTCAATCTCTTACACTTCGTTTTCTTCCTACGCAGATAATGTCAGGTCAGAAGCTTCCTTCAGACGAGGGTAGTCGGGAGTTGATGGATGGGAACGAACACTCTACAATGGTCGCAGACTCGCAGCTTCCCCTCATCTGACTCCGGAGGACTCGAGGTATTGCCTGACGGATGATGGTCGGCTGTGGTAATCCGAGGCGACTCGGCAGACATGACGATACAGGAACTCAGTCGCTATTGGCCTCCAGTGCATCAGGATCCTGGATAGCTAGCTCGATGACACTCCGAATCGTGACCTCACGCCCTCCAAACAGATAGAGAATAAGGCCAGAAGTGTCCAATGTCAAATTTTGAACAGATTGTCTGGCAAAAGACAAAAGGAATCTCAGAAGTCAAAGCTACTTGCTACAAAGTATGTAGACGGACACGGCGTTTCGTGCTGTAGGTCGCGGGACATATGCAGAGGACCCGAAGAGGCTTAGGGATCCCGTTTTTGCGGGGTAGCTTTTGGAGGTGCCGGGAGATCTCCATGGGGCCCTCGTACTTCCTCGCTTTCTGACGTCTTTGTTTCGGCCTCGGCAATTAGTAGCGGTCCGGGACTTTCTCCAATGAATTGATTTTCGATGATCAAACAATCGCACTCCATTTGGAATGCTTTTAAGTCTAGTTGAGCAACCCATATCCATAACCGAGTTTGCGATCGTGCGAGATACGTCGTATGGGCCATACTTACACCAAAATCTCCTTTTATCGTAATGCTGAGCTTTGCCACAGACTCACAGCTTATCTAAGTACTAGACATACTATCGCATGATACATTCCGAAGAACTGCGAATTCACATCCGCACACAATCTTGCGGTACCTCGGCTAGCCACTGCCTTATTCCTTGCTAGCTATGATCTCCGGCGTCCGTGGGTTGAATCGAACCAACAAGCCCGACTGCTTCGCAAACCAATACGTTGTCACCTGCCACTCCGGCTCACTCGACGCCCATTCAAGACTAAATTGCCGCAATATCTGAGGCACTACCTTCCCAACTTCCATGATCGAAATGTTCTTGCCAATACAAGTACGGACACCAGCCCCAAACTGCAGATACCGGACAAAAGGTCAGCACATTCCTTCGAGATGGCGAGATGGCGTCAACTTCATCAGAAGCTTCATACGTACACTCATGTTATGCCGGTCCATTGTCTTGACAGCTTCAATGTCGTCGCTGAGCCAGCGCTCGGGTCTAAAGGTATCGGCATCGTCGCCAAAGATGCTGCGGTCGCGGTGGATCACGGCGGCGTTCATGCCTACGATGGTGCCGGCCGGTAGGTGAAACCCACAGATTTCGGCGCCCGTCTTCGGGACAATGCGTTCGAGGGGGTAGGATACGCCTGGGTGCATCCGCATGGATTCTTTGATGCATGCTTGGCTGTGTGTTGTCTCAACGTTAGGAGAGTGAATCATAAAGGCCCAGGTTGCTGAAGGGACTTACAGATATACGAGCTTTTGGCTCTCTCCGAACGTGACCACGGGCGACAGTTCTCCTTTTGCTTGTGCCTCGTCGATTTCCTTCTGTAGAATATCATACACGCGCTTGTCGCGCAAGACATAGTAGAAAAGAGCTCGGAGGGCGATGCCAGTCGTATCACTGCCAGCCAGCCTTGTTTGATTGAATAGTCAGTGCAGGCCACTTTACAAAGTATTGTTTCTTCCTTACAGATTGCCCATCAAGTGGTTCATCATATCTCGAGTACTGATGTGTTCACCAGTAGACGCTTGCTCCCGTCGCAAATACGCCAAGAAATCTCCTCGTTCAGAAGAGTCTTGTTTGGCATCGTAATCTTCTAGGCCCTCCATCACCATCTTTGCCAGTTGAGGTCAGCTGGACACGCTCAGAAGAAAGATTTCAACAATGCACATCTCATGCTTGTAACTCACATTCATAACTATTGGCAATGGATCCGGAACTCCGAGTTTTTCCATCACCTTCCTCAACGTGATGTTGCCCAGAAGATACTTGTGCAAAGAAGGCACCTCCCCGATTATTCCGCCGTACATGAGACCAGTCTCAATGCCAGAGATAACATCGTTTACATCGGACCGGGTCTCCATGAATCCGAAGCGACGGGAGAACGTGATGGCGCCAATGACGTCGAATGCGTACCACTGTACCCACGTGCCCAAGTCGACCACCTGCCCCTGCATATCGGTCATGGCATCCGTAAACATTTTCGTACAGGGGTCCACCAGATACTCGAGGGTTCGAATAGACGTCATGGAATACTTTTGTGCCACTGGTCGCTTGAGTGCCTTGTGCATCTCTGGGTCGATCGCCGTGAACAGACTCTGCATCCTTTCGTCTTCGTAAATAGCGTCCAACGTGTTGTAAAAGTTTGACTGAAGAATAACCGTGTTAGATTGTGTCAGATTGACCGTCTCCTTGTTGTACATACCTTGATGAACTTGGAATTTATGCCGTAGATGGTTTGCAGAGCTGCCGGGTCTGAAATGTCAACCACGTTGGGGGCAGTTCGTACGACTGGCCCGTACTTCTCATGAAGTATACGGTAGTCTGAATGGGCGTTGCCCTTCCAGACGAAGAACACGCGCCATAACGGAGTGAATCTGGCAAAGAAGGGCCCAGGAATTTTACTCAGGCCAGGGCGGAAAGCTACTCGCAGTGAGTTGACTAGGAGAATGAACAGGATCAAGACGAGCCCAAGTGCAACATGGTTAGAATCGATGGATAACATGGTAGCGCTCAATGAAGATTCTAGTGCGAGATTGCGGTTGAGTTATCATAGCGTAGGTCGTTGGGTGACAGTCCATTTATACTCTACATCCGGGGACTCAGCACTACCATAATCTGGCCCAGGGACATCGTCTCGAGCTCGCATAGATGTTGAGGTGTCCTAGTCTCTGTGGAGAAATTGAGGAATATTGGCTCCAGGCTACTCCGCACGTCGCTGCTCGCACCGACACATCACAACTTGCGGGGCATCCAGAGGATGCTCCGGTGTCTCAGGCCTCGCACAGTTGCCCCTCGGGAACTAGAAGACATTGGTCACATTACCGTTCATCAACCTAAGGAGACGCATACATGCGGGTAGTTTGTTGCCTTGCCTTAGGGTAGAATGTTTCCCTGCAACTGATTCTAGCGCCGAGACCGAGGGAACACCCCGGCTTGCACATGGCTCTTGCGTATGTTATAGCTTGTTCAAGACGTTACCACTAAATCGCAATAGTAATCACGCACACTACTTGACTATACCTTGATCGTAATCATATACAAACGAAGTGGAAATACTCTGAAGGCCTTGGCGGCTTCTGGAACTTGCCAACACAGCTGCCGGCCGGCATGGTTCCCACTGCCGATCTCCGGAGCAATTGGGCCCCACCCGGTGTGACAGAGGTTCCTCCGGACCCACTTGAGGATGCTCCGGAGCCTGCATCTGCCGGTCATCACCTACGACCGAAAGGCCGTCGTCAATGCTTATCACTTGCGCTTTAATGTCACCTTCGTCATTGGCCTACAAATAACGTTGATCGACAGGCCACCTGACAGCACTTTCTGCAAGTTCTTTTCCGGCAGCACAAGTATTTAACTTAGGTGTTGTTTATTAATGTCAAGGTCCATCGCCGCGCACACGTCTGTCTCATCATTTTTGAGGATCGATGTGTATCCATGAGCGTAGTGCGGGTTCTTAACCGATGTAACAGGTTATTGAACGGAATTAGCCCAATCACTCTTCACGCTCTGTGTAATGATGCCAATGTCATTTTTAGGGAAATTATGCTTTAGCTGTATGATTGAATTAGTCGAGTAGATACGGAGGCCCATCAATTATGCTCGGGAGGTGTCTGTAGTGCAACAGAAACATCTGTCGCGGAATCTTTGTCAATAATATATTGCTTCCGTATAGCGATTGCTAGCAGTACACATTCGCTTCCATCATTGGCAAGTGCCGGTAGCAACCCCCCTTCCCCCTTGGATGAGCCATTGTGGACCGCCACTTCCCTCCTGGACATATCGAACATTTGAATAAAAAAATGCAGATGAAAGGCAAAAGGAAACCAGATGAGGTTGAAGCCTCGGATTATATTCGCTCGTGCAGAAATACTTTGGGTCTATGTCTTTGCAGGGCCTCATCTTGCTTGTTGGTTCACGATCCCGAGCGAACCTCTTTTCTAAGAACTTCAGTGTGTTGTTACGCCGGCGAGATTAGTCTCAGAAACACCATTCGAACTACTTGGTATCTTTGAATCTTTTTTTCATTAGTGTGTTTGTAGCGCTACGTAGGTTATGTTGGGGCGTCGCGAAATGCCCCCACGCTTCAGGTAAGTCAAACCACCTACTTTTGGCCCACCCCCCCTTTTGGCCCACCCCAATTTCCTTCCTAGCCACCGATTAAAAACCCTACCTACGATTTTTAATTCAACATAACAATTATAAAAATCGTCTAAATGAATTTCTTTTTTATATACTAATTAATCTATAGCTAATAGTGCTATATACCGAAAATAAGGTCTA